TAAAGACTTATGTGCCTTGTGTGTAAGTTAAATGGTGATCTTAAGACGAGACCCAAAGGTATGTAAAACAAAAATGAGGCAAAAGTTAAACACCTATTCTACAAATTTGCAACACCACTTAAGTGCCCACTTTCATTAGGTAACTCCACTTTGGTTTGAAAAGTTCCCTAGATTTGGACTACTGCACATGCTCAGAAATAACCTGGATCAGCCACCAAGGCAGTCAACTCCTTCCTAAACTCTATTTCAATCCAAGTCAGTGTGGGAGGTGTCTAAAATCTTTGTCCCTGATTTCTTAAGTGGAGATAGCATGTTTGGTGGCCATTTGTCACTGAAAGCAATTAACATTGCCACTACTCTACCACCACCACATACCTGGATCCACGAGGCGCCCCACTGGCCAAATGACTTGGCTCCATGGTCTGGATCCAACCTATAAACTGTACTTTAAGCACCACTGGACTAACTGTTAGGGAACTTTCTAGGAAACGTGGGAGAGTGAGTTTGAATCCCATGAAGTAAGTGTTCTTCATAAGAACACTTACTTCATGGGATTAGGTTATTAGGCACAAAGTTTGCACCATCACCACTATCTCTTCTCAAGAGTAAAGGAGAGAAGTGCTGTGTTATATAGTGAACACAATTCCTGTACCATGGAGGCACTCAGGCATTTGCAGTTTCTAAGATGTCTGGATCCTGAAATGACAGAAGCACGTCTTGCTCCCCTGAATTCAATGCTTACACTCTTGACTAAAATGAGAGTCCAGACAAAACTTTATGTGAAGTATTTCTTAATGACTAGCTATATAAGCACTTCTGAACTGAGCACCTCAGTGATCTGGATCACTCTTGGGAGGCAGTCAGGGGTCCCTGTTCACTGTAGAAGAGGCTTGGTGCCTGACCCTGATATTTTGGATCATCCCCCTGGAGCAAGACCCTTAGATTTTAGGGGTAGCAATGTATACTTGGAGGCACTTGTAGGTCTGAAATGAATCTGTGCCTTAGTGTCTCTGTATAGGCCACACAGGGATTATGTCATACTTTTTTCTAGCGATATCATATGTTGCTTGATTAGTTGCTCGTTGCTTATCCAAGCTTGTATATCTTAAAACAAAAAGGCCTTTGAAGCTGCACAGTGACCTTAATATATCTTTTTCTAATTCTGTCTTAGCACCTGGTTCTCCTCTCAGTTGCAGCAGAACAAATTATGAGTAACTGCACTGAAGTCCTACTGCATTATACGATAGAGTGAAAATGGTGGAAGTCCAGGGTAATCAGACACCTGGAATCCACCCATCTGCTAAGAGAATTCCCACAGCCACCTGAAGGCTTTTAAACCTTCATTATTTTATATTTAAAATGGATGGCTGAGCATTGCCCATACCAAAATCTTATTCAATAATAGAAGTCAGAGGTGGGAAAAGACCTCATGGGTCATCCAGTCTATCTCACTGTCAATAATAGATTGTTCCCTACAGTTCAATTTCTAGTGACCTTGGAAATTACCAGCCTGGTAGAATGGGCACTTTAATGAAAAACGAAGCTGTTAAAGCTTCAGATCTAGCCATAGAGATCCTTTCCCAATAAGAATTTGTAGTTGTAATACAGGAGTCTATATGTATCTTAATGCTCGGTTATAGTCTTTAAGTGTTGGCAATTTAAATCTATGTTTTATAAGCATGGGCCATTCTAATCATTTATCTGCTATTAAATGGAGGGAGAAGGGCGAATTGGTTCAAATGTTAAGAGAACTTACTTGTAACTTTAACTGAGCAATGCTGTTTTCATAATGAAAGAAGAAAGTTAGTGCCATTTCTTGCATATCTCTGCACTTCTAGGAGCCTGTCAAAAGCAAAACTTTCAAAATAGTATCAGAAAATATATTATCATGGTATTTCTGCCCAACTCAGAAACAAGAACTAGAAGTATTGTAAGAAAAAATGGTCTTGTGCTTTCCCTTTGGGAAATGCCAGTTAATCAAACCCCAAACTTTTAATAGAAACATACTGTTTCTATGACTATTTTGCTATGAAAATTTCTGGGGCCCAGGATGACAAGGTTCTTCGGGTAAATCTGATATCTTTTATTAGACCAACTCAAATAGTTGGAAAAATTCTTTTTAGCAAAATTCTTTCCGGTATAAATACCCTTCGTCAGGCTGAGGAAGCATCTGTAGTTGGTGTGTGCTCTTCCTGGATGGAATGAATAGCAAAGAAGCCAAAGGCTGGTATGCATGCAAGAAAGCCAGTCAATGAAGATGTAAATTGAGGAGCCAATGTAAATTGAGACCCAGAATGGAATTCCTGGTCAAGAGAGTCCAACCCCAAACTAGCCAATAGATCCAAGATTAGGTCCACCTCAGGCAAGATGTATTTGAACATGAATTTCCCATGTGAGGCCCCTAACCAGCAGGCTGTTGGTTAGTCTGAGATGAACCTCAGATTGCAAGCAGATTACAAGCCTCTAAATTTATCATAAAATCAAATTCCTGTTTTCCAGCAAGACTCTGTGAGAAGCTCATTTCTTATGTGTTTTTAATTTGGGATCTATAGATGCAAGAATTTTGGACATTTCTGACAAGGTTCAGCTGTGAAGCCTCATATTGCGTACATCTACATTGTGCAAGGCAATTCCCTGCTGATACATGCCGTGCTCACTCTGCGCATTCTGGCTCCCAAAGATTAAGGACAGGTACAGCTTATTGACACTGCACACAGTACCCATCCAATATGGCTACACTAGTTCCCAGCTTGGGAGCTAGGATATGCAGAGTTGGGTGCAGTGGTCTAAGCATGGGATTGCCTTGAGGTTTACTTGAACCAAATCTTTTAAGGTTTGGTACAAGTAGTGGTTTACTTATCCATTGTTCTGCCTTATTGCAGTAACAGCCTGACAGGCACTGCAGTGACAGGAGTGGGGAATGGTTCTCTTGAAAGATCGGGGACAATCAAGATCTTAAATCCAGTCAGAAAGCCAATCTGTGACTTTGGCTGCATACTGTTATAAATCATAGGAACATAGGACTAGACAGGCCTCCTGAGGAACTGAGTCATCCCCTCTACTTGCAGGGAATCAAAAATGAAGGACCTGCCCATATTGACGCTTCAAACCCTCACCTACAACTTAAAGGAACAATATTGAAAGCATCAAGAACACCCTAAAATTAGATAGATAGGCAAAGTTACCAAGTTGCAAACTTTTTCCATCCTGCTGTACATGGTGCAATTTTCATTGCTAGTGCTTCTATTATGTTTTCTTTTCTGTGTTGTGGCCTTTTCAATTATTCTTTGCTCACCAGTTCACTAGCCTTTGGTAACTAGTTTATCCTCAGGCTACAAGTAGACGTCATTTTTGTGACTAAATTGACTTTGCTGGGATGTGCCCTGGCATAGATGATCAACAGATGATTGGTAGAGACAGACATCACCTGGGGTTGTTCCTCCAGGATCAATTCGCTGTTACTTCTGGGGCTTCAGGGGCCCAATCCTGTGGGATAACAGCCCCTGGTGCCTGGCCCCAGTACCCAGTGAACCCCATGCATTCTCTGGTCTACATTTGCAGCTGTGCAGCCCTGGATCCCTTGCAGGGGAGTTCCTGGGATGCACATTCGCTAGCACAGAGAATCCCTGGAGGGTCAGGCACCTGTGGCCATTGTCCCATGGGATCTGGCCCCTGAAGCCCCAGAAGTGCTTGTCCTATGTGTCTGGAGAGTGGGGTCAGTCTCAGGCTGCCTGCAGCCTCATGTCATAGCTGAACAGGTATCTGCTGCAAGAGGGCAGCACAAACTTACTAGGAATCATCATGCCACCATTTTTGGGCATTTGGGGAGTGACAAGGGGCAAGGACATCTGTTCACTCAGGTTTTGTAATTCCATAAAAATGATTATGTTGGCAGAGGAGCAATTCCTGTTTGCAGCCTCAGAGACCAGATTCCAGTCAGAGTAGGAAGGAGGCGCCTTCGCTGCCAGCTCTCTTACAAGTTAGGAGTTAAAAGAAAAACAAAGCTAGTTGGATAGTGTTTGGCAGAATTCTTCTTTGATTTTATTATTTTTATTTATTTGGATCTTGGAGAATTAGGGGCTGAGAAATGCAGTAATTATGAAGATGAGGTTCTTTGGGTAAATGTGATAGCCTTTATTTAGACCAGCTCAATAGTTGGAGAAATGGTTCTTTACAAGATTTCGGGCACAAAGACCCTTCTTCAGGCACAGGGAGAGTCTGCTGGTGTTTGTGTACTCTCTTGGGTTGAATAGAAGCTTACAGCAAAATGCAGTTCTGTAAAAATGCAAGTGCGTGGTATGGAAGATCAGAGGTCTTGGGAATTAATGGGTGTGAGGCAGGTAGGTAAGAGGGAGGAATTCACAGACCTGCATTTTGCATATTGCCTTAAGCTTCTGTTCTACCCAAGAGAGTACACAAACACTAGTAGGCTCTCCCTGTGCCTGAAGAAGGGTGTTTGTGCCCAAAAGCTTGTAAAGAAAAAAATTTCCAACTTATTAGTTGGCCTAATAAAAGATATTACATTTACCCAAATAACCTGTCTGCCTATGTCCTTAGACCAACACAGCCAGCACCCCTGAAACATGGAAGTAATTATGAAAACACTTATTCCCAAAACCAAGTTTTTTACAATAAAATAGAGATGGTTTAATAAAGTAATGTTTATCCTCACAGAAATGCTAGTCATGAATATGTATCTAGAATAACTGGAACTAATGCCTAACTCTAGTATTCTTCTATAGTGACTTAACATTCTGCGTAGGCTGATTATTTTTTCAACAATATTTGTTATATTCTTTTAAGGTTTGCCAATATATGTTTTTTGAAGCTTAGTTAGTGAGAACAGCTGCCAGTGGAGTAAAGGCTAAGAGAGGCAAAAAAATATCTGCAGATGGCAAGGTTTTACTTCAAAAAATCAGTATTACAAAGCATTACTGTTACTGGTATAATCACTTTCTTTGTGGGGTTGCTAATGTAGACTGGTTTTCTTGTCTTCACAGCCCCCACTGAGCCTTTGCTGTGTAAATTTGCTGATGGAGGGCAAAAGAAGCGACAGAATCAAAGCAAATACACACAGAATGGAAGGCCGTGGCCAAGAGAAGGAGAGGTGAGTGACATTCAGTAATCACTACCCGTGCAGTTGGGAGGAGACACCTACAAGACCTGTTGGATTGGCTCTCAGGGCCATAATCAAGTCAGGTTCTATGTTAAATCCAAAGACTTCAAAAAGGCAGTGAGTGCGAGGGAAAGCGAGTCTTATATTAATGCACCAACTATAAAGTTGCCATAAGAAAAATTACAAAACCATATAAATGACTTCAGCATTGCCAAATCAGGAGCTCCCTGTCTGTAACCAGACTTGAACTTGGTGGACTTTTACAGATACGTCAGAAGCAGTTGAGTTCTCTGTGTTTTGCCATAACACTTGAAGACATATTTACAGATCAACTAAGGAATGCAATGACAACTTTTGATAGTATAAAGTATTTTCAAAGTGGTACCCAGTGACAGAAGTATTACCACCCACCAGAGTATTTAACATACAAAAACGGAAAAAGAAACTTGCACCCAAATTCAGATCCAGTGAAAGAATATTCCAATTGCTTCTGCAAGTCTGAATTGGGATCTTTTTTCAGCTGGTAGACAAGAAAGTTCACAATTCATCAGTTTCTACTTTCAGTGTAGACTATTGATGTGCAGTAGACTATTGTACTGCACATTAAAGAGCCATGTAAAAAACCATAACATTGCACTAATGAGTAGTAAAATAGTCTACGGTACATTAAATGTCACTAATAAAGCATGCAAATGCACTACTGTACATTAGCACAGCTTAATGCGCATTAATTTAGTACCCCACATTGGAAGTACTAATTTAATGCTCACTAGAAAAGGAACATTAATGCCCAGTATGAGACTAAGATAATTTGTTAGTTGCTTCCTCTCATTTCTGTAAATGTTTAACTACTGGAATGCCAACCCCATGCCCTTGCACCCAAAATGACTCCATGTATGTTTCAAATAAGAAAGGAATTTCTTCTGAGTCTTTAAGGGTTTTCTTATTGTTTGTGAATGGTATAAAGTCATTTGAATCAATGACGTACATTTGGTGGCAGTACAATTTTGCACATTTTTATAGCTTCTAGAATGAAAGTCATGAAGGTATTTCCATCCTACACGCCCCTTCATGGAGTTAATCCCTTTGGATGACAAAAAGTTTTACTTGCTGCTGAAATGTGGCCCATGAGAATTAAAGCTTTATTAACGTGTGTGCGTGTACATTAATAAAACAAGTTTGACCATATGTAACTTACAAAGTTAGTGGTTTTAGGTAGGATTTTATATTCTTCACTAGCTTGATTTTGTTAGCTGATATTTTTCAGACCATTACTCCATGAAACATGTATTGTAGCACTACCACTAAACTTCTAAAATAAACAAAATGGCATCTTGAAAGAATATGAATTGCTCACTTTAGCAAAGCAGTTGCTGCACACTCTTCCAACAAAAATATCCCAAGTAATTTTTGGCTCTGTGGGGTAAGAACGCTGGCATGACAGCCACATTAATGTAGGAGACTGAAATGGCCTCAGAAGGGTCATTATAGTCGGTTATGCCACTAATCCAAAAAACTGTGACATCTCATTTGTTGTACCATGGCATTATGTTAAGAATCTATTAAATAAAGAGTTCCCAAGAAGGGCTTGACACAATAGTCCATAAAGTAAAAGATTCTAAAGACAGTTACATATATATTCTGTAGGCACTTAAAATGTCTATATGGTCAACAATCCATACTTTAAAATGCTTGTAAATCCTTGTTTCTACAATAGATGCTATTGCAGCCTATCATGTCAGCTGTCCTATTCCTTGATGTTTAAAATTAATAAACAATTGAATGTAATGTTAAAGCTGATATGACACCATCATGCCTGCTACCAAGGGACTTTGGCCTTGGGCATGATATATCTGCGGCTATAGTTAGCAGGATGGAGTGATTTCAGATCAGCATTACACTGTTTTATGAGTAGGATTTGCTTAATTTGTTAATCTTTTGATTTAAAAAAAAATTGGTATTTTGGGACAGCACTCATTACTGTTGTTTTACAGTTGAACTCTCAAAATGTAAAGCAAGGATCACTGAAAATGTACTGTTTAGACACACACACACACGGTAGGCAGATGCAAAACCAACTTGGAAAGATTGCAAAGAAATGGAGGTGTGAGCTTCTAGCTGAGCCAGTTTGGACGATAATACCTTTTATCATATATATGTAACATAGCCAGGCATTTCAAGCATTTAATGCATTCACGACATAAAATGCTTTTGGGGATTACTCTAACTATTTGAAAGGTAAGGATGTTTTCCTTTGCTGGTAAGCAACGAAGACATGTTGGTCATTTTTTTGGTGTAGTAGGCTGTAAATGGAATCACTTTGCAATAATATTGCTGTCAATTAGAATTTATGTAACCAACATATGTGGTGGACAGTGAGAAATAATTATCCAGAAAACAGAGGTCAGAGTTCTGGTTATAGATAAATTATAGGTAAAATGCTTGCTGCACCTCTATTTTTTCATAGTTCCATCCAAAAAATGAAAGCACTGGAATGCTATCCAAGATTATTCCCTTAATATTTTCAACATGGCAAATCATGTGAGATTCAGTTTCCAGAGCAAAATGTATTTGGCTATTATTCAAATAAGCATTTGTAATCTTGGATGGTAAGCTGAACAGAATTTCTAAAAGTTTTGAGGTTTGATCATCATTAATGCCAAATGCATTTAAGAGTTATTGTTGGGAAGCGAGACGCCAGAGAAGTGACACTGGCATTTTTGTTGCAGGCCTCAAGTTTGAGTATGCAAAGTAGAAACAGACAGATGTGCACAATACTCTGATGTTTTTTTAAAAAGGTAGGAGATTTAGTTATAAAGGATAAATCACTGCAGTGAATCCAATAAATCTCTGGTCATTCTATTCTCGTATCTGTAGGTTTCCTTTCTGGTGAGCTACTATAGAATCAAATGAGAGATTATTTATTTTCTGAAGTGTTTTCAGATCATTCTGATGAATGCAATAGAAATATTATATTCCTGATATACATTTGCAAAAAATGCTTAAAATATAACAAAATATCATAATTTTTGGTTAAATTCTATCAGGTATAGTACAGCCACTGCATATCACATCACAAGCGTAATTTGGCCATAAATTTCTTTTAACCAAGCTAGAAGGATCGCCTTGATTTTGGAATGAAAACTGGAATAGAATCCCCTAGGCCAAAAACTGCTTGTGGTGTCAGCTAAAAATATAAAAGGAATAAGCCAGGATGCCCCTTTGCCACACTGATTTATACCCGAAAGCTTGCAAAAAAGAATTTTTCCAACTGTTTGAATTGGTCTAATTAAAAGATATCCGATTTACCCAAAGACTGTTGATCACCAGAGTTGCCTTTTGAGCCCCTTGTGATGGCTGGAAAACATCCTAAGTTAGAGCTTTCTCTCATCCAGTGCATGCATGGAGGACATGAATGCACAAAGAAGCACCAGGATCAAGGAAGCTCAGAGGGCATCTTTAAAACACCCACTAACTTGTGCTCTGGTGTTTTGGGGCAGCTGGGTCTGGAAGGGCTTAGTTTGATCTAATTGTAATAGCTGCATATCCCCTGAGAGAATGATGAAATCAGTACTCTGCTATGGGTATACCACAAGTAAAATGAAGCTCAAAAATATTTGAGCTACATTAGGGGAATTTTGTTGTAATACTCTTCTAACTTGCACTAGCTCTGTATCAGTGAAACTCCACTGGTTCACACCAATATAAATGAAAGGAGATTCAGAACCATTCTTTTGAAAATACCCCTGCCAAAACTACACTGAAGAGTGAAGGAGAGGGAGAGAACAGCACATTAATAATGTCAATGAAACATGTTTATTTGATATAATCATATATTTAATTATGATAGACAAATCTAGAGCTGGATAATCTTGTCAAAAATGCTAAATCAACAGAAAAATACAGTTTTCAGGAATAAAATACAGTATCTAGTCCAATTTGTTGAATAAGCTTGGCTAAAAGGGATGCAAGGGAAGTTTTAAAATATTAATGTTTTTCATTGTGACATTTTAAAATTAAAATATTCCATTAAAAATGTTGTTTAGACAGTTTTGAAACCAAAAGTTTTAAAATTGAACTTTTTTTCCAAAATGGTGGAGAGTAAATAAAACCAAGATGATGGAGAGTAAATAACCTGCAGTGAAATCCAAATGACATGTTTTTATTCTTGTTTTACCAAAATAATTGTAAAATTACTGTTTTGGGTTAATCTGGACTATTTTTTTCTTTTTGCAGTATTTTAGCTTAGCCATGGAAATGAAACCCATATTTTTCACATAGCACTAGGTAGATCACATAAATGTGCCTGTCAAATTTAATGGGGATTCCAATATGACTATTATTTTTCTTATATTCGTTACATTACTTTTTAAATAGGCACGTACACTATAGTGATTTTGAACAGACACAACTCTGTCAAAGGCAATAGAGATGAATCTGTTTCCACCTGAGCTGAATTTGGCCTATTGTGTGTGGTAAATTTTCTGAATTTCTATTGATAATTCTTCCACTGATTGATTGTCATCTCTAAAAGTTGCTGATGTTTTCTGGGTTATACTGCCTTTTCTCAACCGGCAATAGACAAAAAATTGTTTACTTCTAACCAAGCAATTGCTGAAAATTCTCAAGAACTGAAACGAATGCATTTAATTATGTTTAAAAAGAAACTTCAGTAGCACAAAATGTCTACTAAATATTTTCTGTTTTGATCTACTGGTCATTGCAATTCTGCTTAATGCCGAAGCATAATTTTCAGAGACAGACAGACGAAGGTCATTTGTGAGACTGGGTGTCCCCCCTTGTATTGTAAAGACATTATCAGAGGACAGTCAGAGTTGCTGATCCTGGTGCCAGTCCTCCCCTCCTTACCAGCCTCTGGCATTTAGAAATGATTAGTAGGTCTGTGCTGGGTACATTTATAACTCAGAAGCACATTTCTTTTCATGCTTTCAAGGAGACAGGTAGCACTTCGTTGTGCTCCATATCCCTCA